ACACATATGTATGTTAGGAAAATAGGCACACTTTCAAAGAGAAGCATAGGGGCTTTTACTGCCTTCGAAATCACTTTTAATAAGAGTTGTATGATAAATCATTAAAAATGCGAGTGTAAATATTTTTTTATGTCTATCAGGGTTTTTATTGGAAAGTGTGCTCTTACCATTTCCTTATTTGAGTAAGAGAGTGAAATGGTTCTGAGTGTTTAGGAAGGATTTGCTTGCTTGCGGCAGAGGTTCTAGGAAAAGCAAGCGCCTCCCAAATATCTTGAGAACACTGGCAGCCTTATGGCCACTAAATCCACACTTTCTTTAAAGAGATGCAGATGAATTACTTTTCTGTTAATATATAGAAAAATACACATGAGAACATGCAGATACATGTAAATATCTACATACAGGGATATTCGTATGTGTGGTTGTGAAACCCATATACAAGTGGATTTGGCCATCTTTGGGCAGTGAGGTCAAATGTGAATATGTGTAAAAGTGCTTTTCAAAAGTGTGCATTACTATGAGAAAACATCAAAACTGCTGTAGTTTTCCATTTCTACTGTATTTCAGTTGCAACCTATTTTTAATAAACTTTGTATGTATTTAAGTGTATTTGCTATTGTTTTGAAAGTGCTGACAAAGTTTATATTTGTAACATCAGCCTTCCTCGCCCGTCTCTTTCCATCTTTCTATTCTTCATTAAACACTGAGTATGATTTCTGTGTCAGGCAGTGGTTTTCATTTGTGGGGATGTGTCATGTGCCTCGTCACACAGGTGTCTGTGAGTCTCATAAGCCGTTCCACTGCCCGGGCCTTCCTGATTCTTCCTTGATCCAGGCAAGCTCAGGTGGGCATTCAAGCCATTTCTCAGTGACACTGTCTCTTGGTGGCCTCTTCGAAATTCCTAAAATATCCCTAGTAATAAGTAAATGGTGTACATAAGGCATACTGGTGATATGTGTCTTAGTGCAGGAACCCACTCAGGACAGCCTCGTGTAAAAGGGTATGTTTGATTGTAAAACTGCACAAGCCACATTATGAGGACCTGGGAGCTGCGGGAGGCATGTGCGGGCGGGACCTTCCATGTGGACGGGGCTCAGCGCTGCCTCTGCGCCATTGTTCCTCCTGCCTCTGCCTATTTCCAGTGTACCTTTTAATGGCCTATGAGCAGGAGGACGGGACAGGGCAGGGATGGAGAATTTTTAGGGCTTTCATGGAGGGAGAAAGGGATGGGGAGCTGTTGGTTGAAGGATACAAAGTTTCAGATAGGAGGAACAGGTTTTGAGATGCGTTTGCTGCACAGCAGGGTGACTGTAGTCCATATGTTGTGAAAATGAGCTTCATGAAGGAAGGCGTGTCTTAGGGTTGTAGAAAGTTGTGGAGACCTTTTTGATAGAACGAGATGTTTATGTATTGAAACTACAGTATTCACTTTTACTATATTTTAATGCTTAAAAAGATACTTTAATGTTTGAGAATACAAAAACTTAGGAAGTCTGAGTGTTAATACAGATTCCGTTTTCTTCCCAAGGCCTGTGTTTCTGTTGCTGTCAGTGGAAGTGATGGTACTGCCCTGCAGTGGTCTTCTGTCACACGGACCAGCAAGCACTTGATAGTTTTCTGGTGTGTGCCGTTGGACACAATTTCCTTTACCCTTTATTGATTGGAAAACTGATTTCAAAGATTTAGTTATATTTAGTAAACATTAAGCAAAATTTAATTTGAATAACTTGCAGGAGGGAAAGGATGTACAAAAAGTGATAGTTTTATTATTTCCAGTATTTCATCCAGTTTATTCCAAAAATCACATAACCTCAAAAGAGACATGACTAGACTTGAGACTGGGAATTGAAGCCAGTTTCTTGTGTAATTCAGCAAGTGTCTATGGGAGCCTACGGGTGCCTCCTCTGCCTCGGTGACTGGTCTCACAGCGCTTACCGGCCCTCCTGAAACAGTGCGGCTCTGCCCCCAGGGAGCATCACTCCAAGAGGCAGAAGCACATGTTTCATTTACATGTGCTGGTCCATAGTAACTTAACTGTAAAGAAGTGCAGGGGACACCCGGAGGCCTAATAAAGTTCCTGTGGAGACAGTAGGCTGTTTTGAGAAAATGATGCTCTTAAGAAGCCTTGCAGATGGAAGAAGCCTGAGGCAGGCAAGCTAGAGCCTCTGGAAGATCAGGAGAGCCAGAGCCAGAGCCCCAGGACAGGAGGGCGCAGGCAGGGGCTGGAGAGAGCCAGGGGCCACCTGGTGCTATCCAGTGGTAAAAGAGCATTTTCTAAGACCATGGCAAGAAGTGTGACTTGTCTTCTTCGCGCAGTGCAAAGCCTCTGCAGGGTTTCGAGGAGGGGCTGGGGCCACCCAGGTGACGTCAGTCGCTCTGGTTGCTGGCATGCGGGGGGAAGGAATGGAAGCCCGGAGCAGGCTTCTGCAGGAGTTGGAGGCTTTGAGGAACTAGATGGTGGTGTGGCCACCGAGATAGGGGAGCGTGGAGGCGTGGGCTGGGGTGGGCCCAGGTAAGCTCTAGAGTTGTTTGCATAGTTAGAGAGATGCCAAAGAACAGACTAGGAAAGAGCACAAAACTCAACTTGGCTGTCAAACAGAAATTGGTCACCATGGCTTTCAGATTGAAAACTACCTTCACATGTCTTCAGTGGGTTAGATCTTATTTTTCTCTGTTCTTCTAAATCTTATGTTTTATTCTTTTATAGAGACTACAGACTTAAATGAATGTTAAATTGGAGACAGCGGTTCCAACTTTAACTTGGAACTTTTTAAAATGATTATAAAATATTAATCTAACTCTAAAGAAAGACCTGGGAAACTGTAGGTGAATTGTATGGCTTTAAAAATGTTCACCTTCCTTCTGTCAGTCTTTTTTGTATGAGAATAGATCCCAAAATATAAAAACGGCCCAGCTCAGTTGAGCAAAATACGTACCATGTTCTGAACAGGCGAAGCACAACTAGGGAGTCTCGGGACTTCGGGTTTGTCTGATTTCCATGACTGCCATTACCTAAATATTGGAAAATCACTGACATCGATTCAGAGACTGTCCAGAGCCCTCTTAAGTCTTTGTGGACACAGAGTGGCTTATTTAAATGAAGCAGCCTCTCCTTCCAATGACGTGAGGTGTTTATTTCTCTTTCTTTCTAGTTGTTTTATTATATGTCACCCATTGCAGACTAGGCACCCATAAATATTTGTTGGGTAAATTACACAAGAAATCGGCTTCTATTCTCAATCGGAAGTCTAGTATGTATCTTTTGCGGTTATGTGACTTTTTGGAATAAACTGGATAAAATCATGGAATTAAAAATTCACTTTTTGCATATACTTTCCCTCCTGCAAGTCGTCCAGTGTATGTCTTGCTAGTGTTACTAAATATAACTTTCTGAAAGTAGCTTTCCGTGCAAGAAAGCATGGAGGAGTGCTGTCTTCAGTAGAAGGATTGTTCAAAGACAGCTGGTTGCTGCAGTCTGCAAATGATTTGATCAGATCTCTCAAGAAGAATTCTTGTTGCAAGACAAGGAATTGGTGGAATACAAACAAAAATAGGAAATGAAGGAAGAGGAGAGTGCAAAGGCCGACTGGATTGTGAGGGCGTGCACGGGGAGTCTTGGTACCGCAACCAGTTCCATGTATTCAGAAGAGGAAGACGCAAGTGCCTTCCAGGGGGAAGTTGGCTCAGCCTCACATTCTAAGAGGCGTTTCTCAGGCAGCACTGGACATGGGCCGCCCTGAATATTCTTTGCTCCTGAGGACACCATTTGCGGGGCTGACTTGTGTACATACACGGGGCCTCTGGCTGTCTCTGGTAGAAGCAAATTTGTCACACTTGTTGGCAGGATTTCCAATGACTTGGGCAGAGCCAGTCATTAAAGTGGTAAAGCAGGTTGTATTCCAGAACTTTGTAATGGGGGAAGAAAACACCTCAGTTTAGAGCTGGACTCAACTCTGCATACAGCAAGGCAAGTGGAATCGGCAGCCAAGGAGCAGGTTAGAGGTTGGTGGAAAGAGGGTCACTGAGAGGCCACAGCAGGGCTGGAGGGCACTCGGGCTAAACTGACCCATGGGGAGTCTTGCTAAAGTCAGGGCTGGGGAACCCAGCATCACCTGGGGGATGGCAGGGGACATGGAACTGATCAGATGTTGGACGCAGTCGTGGGGGAGTCTCATGGCGATGCAGACTTTGAGGCTGAGCTGAAGAAGGGCGTGGAGAAGCCCAGGGTCTGGTCAGGGAGGGCGTCCTTGCCACTGGTGCCAGGAGAAGCGGGTGTCCGTGTTCCTAACCAACTTGCCGCACGGTTGCCGCCATCACGTCGCATACCGTGTCCTGTCACCTGTGCCGGGCTGTGAGCTGGGAAGCTGCGCAAGCCTTTTCGCCACTGTCGTCCTGGCCTGTGTGCATGCCTCGCCAACCGCTGCTGTGTAAATAAGTTTGGAAACCAAGTCAGTGATACGGACGTGATGTATCACAAACACTGCAACAAGAGACGGAGCCTCCATCCAGCACTGCCACCGACTCTCCGGGAGCCTTTGGCCACATTCTGTGACACAGGAGGGGCCCAGAGCAGCTCAGTCCCCTCGAGACCTGACACCAGCCCCTCCAGAGACCGTCCGTTTTCTAGGAGTCACGTGAAAAAAGTAGAAGGAAGCATAATAAATTGTGATATGTTTTATTTTGCCTAATATATCCCAACAGCATCATTTCAACATGCAATCTACACATAAAATGCATTCAGATTCTCTACATTCTTTTTCATGTACAGCCTTCAAAATACAGGGTGTATCACACCCACGAGACTTCCCCGACTGCTGTGTGCTAGTGCTGGATTGTGAGTGACCAGAGAAGCCTCTACATTAAAATATGGGGGTCATTCCCCCCGCAGTGTGCGGGGAGGAGGAGGCAGGGGGGCCATTCCCTCCGCAGTGTGCGGGAGGAGGAGGCAGGGGGGGCCATTCCCTCTGCTGTGTGCGGGAGGAGGAAGCAGGAAGCTGCTTGCCCCTCCTCTTCCAGGTTCAGGTCCTGCTTCCGGGACTCAGCGCCGCGCTTCTGGGAAGCGCCGGTCCAGGAGCTCCGCAAGTTACAGGAGAACCAGGCGGGGCCGTGGTCCAGCGAGGCCTGGGATTCAGAAGGCATGAAACTTTCCTCAACGCTTGGACACCGGCCCCTCCCCCGGGTCTTCCTGCTTCTTCCCCCTGCCCCTGGCTCCCGCCTCGAGCCACCCTCTCTCGCTCCCCAACGCCTGCACCTGCGCCGGTTACTGGGGGCGGTGAGTGGAGGCCAGAAGCAGAGGCGATGCCGGCCGGGGGCGGGCGGTGGGGGGGCTTCTGGGAGCAGCGGACCCGGCAGCTGCAAAGCCAAGTGCGGGTGAGTCGGGGTAGGGGGAGGGAGGAGGGACCTCCCCCCTCAGAGGCTCCACGCTGAGGCCTGGGAGAATCGGGTGAGCTTGAGGTTTTCACTGGATGGTGGCCAGCTTTGGACACAGAGGCCCCACGTGATCTGTCCCCTCCCGTCTAGGCTTCCACGACCTAGGGGTGGTGGACCTGCTCTGTCCTCCCACCACTGACCTCCACCTGAGGCCCTGGACTTCCCTGTGGGACCTCCTCTCCCCTCCCACCTGGGGACCTCCTCCCCCGAGGGACCTCCCCCCTCCCCCTCCCACCTGGGCCTCCTCTCCCCTTGGGCCTCCTCTCCCCTTGGGCCTCCTCTCCCCTCCCACCTGGGGCCTCCGCGACTTTTAAAACCGTCAGCTGTGTGCTGTGCACGTGCTGGGAGCACAGTAGTTAAGCCGGGACAGGTAAAGCTCTTCTAGTCACTGCCCTCTTGGAGTATACAGTTGAATCCGGGAAGTAGATCAATGAAATAAACGCAGAATGATTGTAAAATACAGAACGCTGGGAAGTGGAGGTGCATGGTCTCACACGTGTTTATAATTCAGCCATCGCCTAATCTGAGAAATTAAGGATTTCTGCATCGTGCCCGTGCCCGCTGAGCTGAGCTCTGCTGAGATGGGGAGTCCTTCTCTGGCTGGAGGCTGCGGCCGGCAGTGCTGTGAGCTGGGCAGGGGTCAGCGCCGGCTGGGGCAGCGCAGGAAGCAGCTGCTGCTTGAGACTGAGAGCACAGCAAGGGGCCGAGCTCCGCCTGGTCAGTCGGGACCAGTAAGGGATCTTCTTTCTTGAGGGCACGGAGACACCGTTGGAGGGATTGTGAGGAGGGTGGGAAGATGAGATTAAATTCCTATTCTGAAAATGTCACATTGTGGAGGGCACTAGTTCAAACGGAGTAATGGCCATGGAGGGAGAACACTGCCCGGGGACACCCCGGGGTGGCAGGGAGAGGAGCCCCGGAAACCTGAGCAAAACGTGCAAAATGGGGAAAACCACCCACTTTTTTAATGGAAGTTGTGCTAACAGCTGTCAACGAAAAGAGTCAAACTCTGTGAAATATTTGAAGAGATTTATTTGGAGCCAAATATGAGTGACCATGGCCCGTGACACGGCCCTCAGGAGGGCCTGAGAACTTGTCTACAAGGTAGCCGGGGCCAGCTTGGTTTTACACAATTTAGAGAGGCAGGAGACATCAATCCAATATGTTTAAGAAATACATTGGTTCGGCCCAGAAAGGCGGGACAACTCAAAGGGTAGGGGGAGGGCTTCCAGGCTCTAGGTTCATGTAAACATTCTCTGGTTGACAATTGGTTGAGTTTGTCTGAAGACCTGGGATCAATAGAAAGGAAATGTTCAGGTTAAGATAAAAGATAGTGAAGACCAAGGTTCTTTTGAAGTCTCATTATGGCTACCCTTAGAGTCAATAGGTGACAGATGTTTCCTATTTAGATTTTTAAAAGGTTCTAGACTCTTTAGTTCATCTCTTCAGGATTGGGAGGGCCTGGAAGAAAAAGATCTAACCGTGTTAACAGAGATTCTTTACAGATGTACACATCCCCCAACAAAGGACAGCTTTGCAGGACCGTTTCAAAATATGGCAAAGAAGCATGCTTTTGGGGTAAAATATTTTGACTTTCTTCTTTGTCTCGTAATATTATGTCCGAGTCAGATTTGGAAAGTAAGTCACAATGTATAGGGCTAAATTAAACCCATCTGATGAGAATTTATGATTTGTAGGGCATGACTCCCCGGGCCCCTTAGATAGGAATTTGAAGCGCAAGAGTGAAAAAAAAAAAATCAGAGCTTAGTCCTCACAGCATACATCAGATGACAAATATTTATTCAAGAAAGTCTGCTAAAACTCCATAAGAACAATGATCATCTGTGGATCCCTCCTTCCCCCACTCCAGCTCGTCTTGACAGAGCCCCCCTCTTGGTGGTTGTGTCCGAGGAGACAGGGCTTGCTCTCCCCTCAGCTCCCATCCGAGGGTCCCCTTATCTCACCAGGAGGGACAGATGCCAGCATTTCTCACCGCAGCACCCAGTTGAAGAGGCTAAATTCCTGGTGAGCATGGACAGCCCCCTTCTTCCAGCCAGTCTCTACTCATCGGATGGGGTTCTAGCCAAGAACAGCGGGCTAAGAAGGCTGGGATCCCATTGCTCTCCCCAGCTCCTCTGTAGGACACAGCTCTGTAAAAAGAAGCAAACTGAAAAGACCAGAGAGCAGGACAGTCCCCAGGGAAGAAAAGGTTGCTCTGAAGCTCTTCCCAAAGGAACTGGCTTTGTTGGAAACAGCGAGTTCAAGCCTGAAGGCATGCTCTGAAAGGATTGTTCTCTTAATTAGGAGCAATGAATTGGCCTGTGAGAGCTGCCAGAACAAAGCACCACAGACTGGGGGCTTAAACAACAGAAATTTCTCCCTCACAGTTCTGAGGCCTGACGTCTGAGCTCAAGGCATTGGCAGCTTTGGTTGCCTCGGAGGCCTCTCTCCTTGGCTTGTGGATGGCCACCTTCTCACCGCGTCCTCACGTGGTCTTTCTTCATCGTGTCTCTGTATGTGTCCAAATTTCCTCCTCTTGTAAGGACACCAGCCACATTGGAACACGGCCCGCACCCTCCTCTGGTAAGGCCACCAGTCACGTTGGAACAGGGCCCACCCCCACCCCCATGGCCTCATTTTCACTTAATCACCTCTTTAAAGATCCTATCTTCAAATAGAATCATATTCTAATACACTGGGGGTTGGGACTTCAACATTTGAATTTGGGGGTAGAGACAAAATTCAGCATATGATCAACAAGCTAATTCATAGCCCTACTAGGTTGCTAGAGAGAACCAAAGTGGTGACTAAGAAGAGCCCTTGGCTGGGTGCGGTGGCCCACGTCTGTAATCCCAGCACTTTGGGAGGCCAAGGTGGGCAGATCACGAAGTCAAGAGATTGAGGCCATCCTGGCCAACATGGTGAAACCCCATCCTACTAAAAATACAAAAATTAGTTGGGTGTGGTGGCGTGCACCTGTAGGCCCAGCTACTCGGGAGGCCGAGGCAGGAGAATCACTTGAACCCGGGAGGCAGAGGTTGCAGTGAGCTGAGATCGTGCCATTGCACTCCAGCCTGGTGACAGAGCAAGACGCTGTCTCAAAAAAAAAAAAAAAAAGAAGAAGAAGAGCCCACCTGGAGCTCACACAAACCTCAAAGACAGGCCTCAAAACACGACCCCTGCTCCAGTCTAATTGGACCAGACACTGAAGAAATGTATGCCCAGGTCGTTACTGAAAATCATAGAGCAATCAGTTGGTAATTAATGGAGCTTTACAGGTAGATGTGATGCCGCATAAGGTAGATGGCTTAACAGAGGGATCAGGGAAAGAGATAGCCAATGTCCCCACCAAAACCACCACAACCCAAGGTGGCTGCGAGGATGCCCAAGGCTGAGTCCTCCAAGGAGCTACCCCAGAGGCCTCACACTGCGGGGGAAATAAGCTTCATTGAAATAGTCTAACCAAGTGACTCAACAGATAAGCAAAGAACAACAAAACCAAGCTACAGGCAGGGAGGAGAGGAATCAGCATGTAGAGTTTTCATACTATTACCTAAAACATCCAATTTTTCAATAAAAATAGACATGCAAAGACATTCAAAGAAACAGGAAAATGAGACAGGAAAACACAGGAAACAAAAGCTGCCTTGTGAGGGCCTAGATTTTCTTTTTTTTTCAACTTGACTGATTAGCAAGAGGGCCTAGATTTTGAGGAGACAAAGACTTCAAAGCAGCCATTACAGACATGTTCAAAAAACTAAACAACGCTGTGCTCATAGAAGTGAGGGAAACCATGGCAATGTCTCATCAAATAAAAAACAAGAGATAGAAATTATTTTTTAATGATAATCCTGGAGCTGAAAATAACTGAAATGGAAAAAAAAAAATTCTGTCAGGGCTCAGGAGTAGATTTGAACTGAAAAGTCAGCAAACTTTAAGATAGATTGGTAGAAATCATGTTATCTTAAAAACAGAGATAATAGATTTTAAAAATGGACAGAACCTCAGAGAAAGATGTGAAACCTTTAAGCACCCCAATATATGCATAATGAAAGCAAAAGAAGGAGAGAAGAGAGATAAAGGAGCAGGAAAATATTCAAAGAAATAATTTCTGTAAACTTCCCAAATTTGCTTAAAAATGTGAATCTCTCAAGTTCAATGGATCCCAAAAGTAGGATAAATACAAAGAGATCCACACTCGCACACGTCATAGTACAAATGTTTGAAGCAAGATGCAAATCTTGAAAGCAGATTTGTTGTCGTGTATGTGAGAACCCAAAAGGACTAATGGCTGACTTCTCCTCAGCAATGATGGAAGTCAGAGGGTGGTTGATACAGTTTGGCTGTTTCCCCACTCAGATCTCATCTTGGATTCCTATGTGTTGTGGGAGGGACCCGGTGGGAGGTAATTGAATCTTGGGAGCAGATATCTTCCCCATGGTGTTCTCGTGATAGTGAATGAGTCTTACGAGATCTGATGGTTTTAAGAGGAGGAGTTTCCCTGCACAAGCTCCTTCTCTCTCTCTCTCTCTCTGTCACCATATGAGGTGTGACTTTCTGCTTCTGCCATGGTTGTGAGGCCTCCCCAGCCACATGGAAATGTTAAGTCCAGTAAACCTCTTTTCTTTGGTAATTTGCCCAGTCTTAGGTTTGTCTATATTAGCAGCATGAAAACAGACTCATAAGGCAGTGGAATGACATGTTCAAAGTGCTGAAAGGAAAGAAAACCTGTCAATCAAGAGTCTTATATCTGGCAAAACTGTCTTTCAAACATTAAAGCAAAATAAAAGCACTATTAGAAAAACAAATCTGAGAGAATGTACTGTGAGAAGGAAATCCCTCAGGCTGAAAGTAGGTGAAACCACAAGGAAGCTCAGATCCACACAGAGTGTCAGTAAAGTAATTACGTAATTATAAAAGATAGTAGACATGTATATTTCTTCATTTTCCTTCTCTTAACTGATTTAAAGAGCAGTTGTATAAGACAGAATGTGTATAATTGTACCGTTGGCTGGCCCTGTAACATGTAGAAATGTATTTGACAAAAATAGCACAAAGGATGTGATGAAAGCAAAGTTTTATTGGAGTCAGGAAATGACACCAGTGACTTGAATCCATAGGACCAAATGAAGAGAAACAAACATGGTAAATAAAAAGAGAAATAGAACTTGCATAGAAATATACATGTATTCTCCTTCCTTTCCTCACCTTTAATGAACATGAAATTATGTAAAGTCATAATTATAACAATGTATTGTTGTATTTGTAACATATATACATATAATGCATATAACTATAATAATATAAAAGAGAGGAGAGAAGAATACACCTAACAACAGGGCTTCTGAACGAGTGAGACAAAAACCGACAGAATGGAAGAGAAATAGGCAATTCAAAAACAGTGATTGCAGACTTCAATACTCTACCTTCAATTATGGATAGACCAACTAGATAGAAAATCAACGAGTAAACAGAAGACTCAAAGAACACGATAAACTGAACAGACCTAACAGACATCTGTGGAACACGCTACCTAACAGCAGAACTCAGAATTCTTCTCAAGTGCGCATTGAACACGCTCCAGGATAAACATACTAGGTCATAGAACAAGCCTGAATCATATATGATTTCTATCCTTTAAATAGAATAAGCCTGAATCATATACGATTTCTATCCTTTAAATAGAACAAGCCTGAATCATATACGATTTCTATCCTTTAAGTAGAACAAGCCTGAATCATATATGATTTCTATCCTTTAAGTAGAACAAGCCTGAATCATATATGATTTCTATCCTTTAAGTTGAACAAGCCTGAATCATATACGATTTCTATCCTTTAATGTATTCAGGCTTGTTCTGTGACCCAGCATGTTTATCCTGGAGCGTGTTCAGAATAGAGTTAAATTTGAAATTGATGGCAAACATAAATTTGGGAAACTCACAAATATGTGGAAATTAAACAAGACACTCTTAAATAACCAATGTGTCAAAGAAGAAACCACAAGGAAATAAGGAAGTACTTTGAGATAAACAAAAATGAAGATATCACAGTACAGAAACTTATGGGATGAAGCTAAAGCAAGGCTTCGATGGAAATGTATAGATGTAAAAGCCTGTCCTCCATGAAACCAGTCCCTGGTGGCAAAAAGGTTAGGGACTGCTGGTGTAGATGACTCCCAAGGCCTCAGGTCATATCACCAGTCCCAAAGAGTTTGGAGTTACAAGCAAGATTGTCCTAAAATCATCACAGCTGGTTGTGGGCGTGTCAGCAGGCGTGGGGGAGGAGGAGTCCCCAGCAGAGGACTGAACCCCCAGTAGGAGGGCCTGCACCACAACCTGCTTCCTAAGAAACTGGTGGTTGTCTTTGCAGGAAATTCTCCAGTTGCTGGCTCTCTCTGTGTTCACTATTGATAGGTGATACGTCACAGCCCTATGTCAGACCCTCCAGTGCTCTCCCATCTATGTGGGATCAAACCCAGTCTTCCACCTGCCTTGCACACACCCTGGCCATGCCCCGGCCTCCTTCCCTCCTCAGCCTCCCTCACCCACTCACTGGCCTCGCAGGCCTCTGCCCCGTCCTCAACATGCCACGCTCGTTCCCACCTCAAGGCCTTCACACTGGCTGCTTCTGTGCCCCAGTGTTTCTGTGACAGTCCTCAGCCCTCCCAGCCAGCCTCTCTGAGCCCCCTTCTGACAAGGGGTGGGAGGGTCCAAGCCCCCGGGTTCGGCTGCTGGTCAGGGGCCACACTGGAGGCTGGAGAGGTGGTGGATGTGAGCGTGGACGGTGGGAGGGAAGCACAGCCTGTCGGGGTGGAGATGGTCTTTCCTGCCTGTCCTGGGGCCGCGGCGTCATCCGAGCCCAGCATCGGTCAGCTCCCATACAGTCAGGCATCGCGGAATGGCGGGGTTGTGTTCTGAGAAATGTGACCTTGGACAGCTTTGTCATTGTGGGACATCGTGGGGTGCTTTTCCACGACCTGGGAAGGTGCCGCCTGCTGCTATCGGGTGTGGCCATTGCAGCCAGGCCACAGATCTGTGCAGCGCGGGACTCTGCCGAATACCGCGGGTGGCTGTAACACAACAGTGAGGATGTGTGTATCGCAACACAGAAAAGCTACAGTAAAAATAAGGCACTGCCCTCTCAAGCGGCCACGGTGAGGGACGAGGCCTGTCATTGACCAAAGCACGGCCGTGCAGCCCAGGACGGCAGTTCCTCACCCAGGGCCCGTGTGTTTGCGTCCAGTGTACGCTGTGTTCTGAGGGTGAGCATGATGGCTGATTAATAGAAGTCTCATGACTTCAGTACAACCAGGTAAGTGCTGCGTTGGTCATTGTCTGTTTTGGATCCTTGGTTGTAGGCCAAAGAAGACAAGATAGCAGAACTGGAAACGGAAAACGCTGTCCTTCTTCTGAAATTGGCAGAGGTAATATTTTTAAATGTCCCGCAGGCTGAGTGGAATTGTATCCAGTGGGGAGTGATTTCGTGTTGAGGTCAGCTTTTAGCCCTTGTAGAAGAAATCCATTGTGGGTGACTCCCTGGGACCTTTTCTTTTTGCCATCGAGTGAGCCGACAGGGACTCTTCGGTTGCTGTGTGAAGTGTCTTCTTACACTGGATCAAGGCTGAGCTTCAAATTCCTGTGTGTCTCTGTGCTCACAGGTATTTAATGAGTAACAGTTCATCAGGAACTCACGCTTTTTCAAAACAGCTCTCTTGAGGTTTCGTGTACCAAGTGGGTGTACCATAAATTTACCCATGTTAAGTGTACAATTCAACATTTAGGAAATGTGTAGTTGTGTAACTGACTTAGTCATTTGTGCTGCTGTAAAAAATATCTGAGACTGAGACATTTATTAAGAACAGGAATTTATCACTCAGTTCCAGAGGCTGGAAAATCCAAGGCCAGATGCCACGGGGGCATTGGCGAGGGCCCTTCTTCCTCAACGATGGTGCCATCTCTGGCGCTGTCCTCGCCTGGCAGGACAGTGGGAAGCACAGAAGGCTGTGCCGGTTCCCTTCTGTCCGTCCACGAGGCACGGATCCGTCCCCAAAGGCTGCGCCGGTTCCCTCCAGTCAGTCCAGGAGGCATGGGTCCATCCCCAAAGGCTGCTCTGGTTCCCTCCAGTCCCTCCACAAGGCACAGGTCCCTCCCCAAAGGCACTGGTCCCTCCCCAAAGGCACTGCTTCTCAACACCACCACATCGGGGGTTAAGTTTCCATGTGAATTTTGGATGTGGCGCATTCAAACCGCAGCAGCCACCATCACCACAAGCCAGGTGCCCGGGGTCTCCATCTCCCCGAAGGCCCCCGCCGGCATGTTTCCGCCCTTTCCGCACCCCGTTGTTCCAGGAAGCCGCTCGTCTGGTAACTGGAGCGATCTGCCATCCCGGAATCAGCCCCAGAACACCTGAACGATGCCACCCATGTCATCCATCTGCCTCACCAAAGAAAAATGACTCTGGAAGATGACTCCGCTCAGTTTTTCTTGCAGGTTTGTTCTCAGAATTGAAAAGGAAGGGAGCACGCAGGGAGAATGCCCTTGGCACACACGAACTCAGGTTGTTCTTTTCTACCGTTTGCTGTTGCTATTTGGGGTAGGCTGAGAAGCGGCCGCGGAAAGAAAGCAGGCCTGAGTCCCTGGAAGCTTCTCATAGGGACGTGAACCGATTGGGAAAAGGACGTTTGCAGATGTGACCAAATTAAGACTTTTGGGATGCGAGAGTGTCCTGGATTATCCTGATGGGCTCTAAATGCCACCGTGAGTGAGTGTCCATAGAGGAGGGAGACAGAGGAGTTTCTACACAGGTCACGTGGGGATGGAGGAAGGGAGCTTTCCAGATGTGACCATGTGTACTGGGCAATACAACCGCAGGCCAAGGATTGCAAGCAGAGCCAGAGCCGGGAGGAGGCAGGAGGGGCCCTCCCCAGAAGCCTTCAGAGGGAGGCCCGACCACATCTTGCGTCTGGACTTCTGGCCTCCAGAACCACGAGATGAGAAGTTTCTGTTGGAAAACCCCAGTTTCCCATAATTTGTAACAGTGGAAATAGGAAACCGTTGTGTTCTCATCTTTAAATTATTACCCCTTTCGAATTCTTGGAATCTCAGCAGAATCAGGGCCAAGTGGGGCTTCTACTCTTCTTGACTACCCTTGAATAACCCTGTTGAGTTTCATTGGAAAAAAAAAATGCAGTTGTACAAAATCTGCAAATTAATTAAGGGATATTCATACTACTTCTTAAATGAAGTGAATAGTTTCTGCATTCGTTTTTAAGCTCGTTCTTTCCTGGGGTGTTGAGGCCCGGGTGTGCACGCATTATCATGCCCTTCCTAGGCACTGAAGACCAAGGCACACAGGCGGTAACACCAAGGTCCAGAGAGGTGAGAAACGTTCCCACGTTCACAATGACAAAAAGCCACAGGACTGAGCATCAAATCTCGTCACCCAGTTCCAGGCCACATTGTTCTCTGGAAGTGCACAGTGTAATTCTACAGTAATGAAAACAGTTGGAAATAGTAACCCCGTCCAGCCTAAGAGCCTAACAGCATTTCGTGGCTTTATTGGAAGGGTCAAGACTCTTGGTCAACAAGATCTCAAGGAACCCCAGGCATCCGTTGCTCCACAGTCACACTCCAGTCTCCATCTTTGGCCAGGGAAACGGGTCCTTCCATGGAGGAGGGACCCCCGACCCCTGCCGGTGAGTGCCTGAGTGTGCCTGAGATGGCAGAGGTAAACCCCTCGGCATCACAGTCCAGCAAAGCCTTCTCCAGCGGAACATGGATGGCCCTGCTCAGGGTCCCTCAGCATGAGTGGCTCTCCAGGACGTCACAGCCTCTGCGGTGCCAGCAGCCTGTCAAGGAGTGGCTGTCCGTGTGGCCGCGGACCCCTGAAGTGCAGGCCCAGCCTTCCCATTTGGGTCTGGTCCAGAGCCTGGTGCTGTTCACCACGCACTGTTGGTGGGGGCGCTGCCCAAGCCCGGCGACTTTTCTAGTGTCATTTAGATGAGCTTTTTAAAGGATCTTTTTTAACATGTGAGATCATTAGGCACACAGTGTGAAGTGAAGCCGTGGAGCCCTGGCGTCTGCACTGTGAGCCCCTCCTGGTGGTTCCGGTCACTGAAAGGCCGATCTCCACATGGTGGCCCTGCCTGCTGCCTCCCCCAGGCCAGCATGCCCCACTGCCACCAGAGTGTGGCCTTGGTGTGTGGCGTGCTTGGCGTCACGGGCCCTGCAATGAAATGGCTTTTCCACTGGGACTCCCGGGCGGGGACGTAGGTGGAGCATTGTCCACCCCATGCACCTTGCAGATCTGGCGGCTGCACTGGCCTCCTGGTCCTCCTGACCCTCCTGGCCCTCCCAGCCTGTCACCCTCCCGGAGGCGGAGCTCCCTGCCTGCGACTCGTGCTCCTGCTTCCCATGTCGCCCTCACCTAAGATAAGTCCCGTGTCCCTTGCCCAACAGGTGGTGACTTTATTTCCATCCAACTCCATTCCTCAGCAACCGCCAGTGCAATCCGGCGTCCCTGTGCCCACGCAGGCTCGTTCCCCCGTCTTTCTGTTGCCCACGGCCAAATCCCCCAAAGCTCAGGGCAGCCCCACGTTGAGCGCAGGCCATCCTGGGGCCACGGATTTTCCCAGAATTGCCGTTCCACGCCCGGTGAGTCCCGGAGGCTTTGGAACACGGTTTCTAACACGCGCAGGCTGATTTCTAACGCTCACGCGCGTGGTATTGCTTTCTTCCCAGAGAGGATCTGAGCCTTTGGGGGCCGGGGACTCAGTTTTGCTGCAGCTTCTTCTTTAGTCGGATGAGGGTGGGAGAACCTTCCCGGGCCCATCCTCAAGCCCCACGGATCCGGCCGGTGCTCTGGACGGCCTCTTCACCCCGGGGCTCTCGGAGCCGCCCTCCTCTGCAGTTGTCTGTTAACACCTTTCCACTTCGGAGGAGCTTCGCGCAGAACACAGCGATTTTCTGACCTCATCGCACCCCGCTGTGCGGCCGCCCTCGCTCCACAGTTACTTTCGGTGACTTTGCAGCCTCCTGCCCCGCTGGGCCCGGCTCTCTGCTCCTGAGTCCCGGTCCCTCTGCTCCTGAGGCGCTGAGCTTGGCCGTCTCTGTGCCAGGACTGGGCCTGGGCTCAGCTCCCCGGAGGCAGCGCAGGCAGCGCGGGACCCCCAGCTCACACGCGGGCATCGCCAGCCTCACACGCAGCCCGTCTTCCAGGACGTTCTGCCTCCCCGCACCTGGCCGGGACCCTCAGGCTCAGCCCTGGGGGTGCCTCCCCGACGGCTCCTGTGGCTCCTGGTTCACCTGGAGTTGTCCCCGCCGTGTTCCCCGCTACCGTGAGTCCCATGCAGCGGCGTTGTCTTCTCTCAGGCGGGCAGGTGCACCCGGGACAATCAGCAACCATTCTCTCCTCAGAGGAAAGAGGAGAGGTCAGCCGTCCTCTGCTTCAGCTTCAAGGTTTTAAGACTTTAAATTGTCTTTGTTTATTTTCTACGCAATAGTACAAGGGAAAGATTGAAAAGAGTCGCACTGAGGCCACGCGGATTTCCACCCTGTACAACAAACAGCAACGTCTGCAGAGAAACACACGCTCAGCCTTGAGTCAGTTGGATCGTGTCATTCAGGTACAAACAGCTTCACCAGAAGCCGGAGTTTTAATTTATGCAGTGAATGTTTATGTTTGTTTCTGGTGAAACGGTTTACATTATGCTTGTCAAAAGACATGTCATCTTATGGAAGTAAAAGAGGCCCTCACTGAAAATAGGAAAGCCCCTCGTGTGTTAGATACAAGTGTCCATTACAGGCCTATTCTGGTCTTCTTTAAAAGGGTATACCATCGTTACGATTTTCTTTTTTTCTATTTATTTATTTATTTATTATTTATTTATTTATTTAGCACCCAGGCTGGAGTGCAATGACCCGATCTTGGCTCACTGCAACCTCCACCTCCCAGGTTCAAGCGATTCTCCTGCCTCAGCCTCCTGAGTAGCTAGCACTACAGGTGCCCACCACCACGCCTGGCTAATTTTTATATTTTTTGTAGAGACGGGGTTTCACCGTGCTAGCCAGGATGGTCTCCATCTCCTGACCTTGTGATCCGCCTGCCTCTGCCTCCCAAAGTGCTGGGATTACAGGCGTGAGCCACTGCGCCCGGCCAAAATCGTTACTATTTTCATAATCAACTACAGATGGTGTTCACTCAGGGAGCTCTGCTTTCTACTACATACTAAACAGAAGACTAAACCTAAAAACAAAACAAAACATAGGATTGGGATTCTGAGCAAGTATCAGAAGGAAAAATACATTTTGGCCATGAAATGAATTATTTCAAATAGCTATGGTAGTAGTTCAATTTTATGAGTCAAAATTCTCATTTTAATGAATCAAATTAAATCATTAAACTGAAATCTTACTTTAGTTAATCAAAGTTCTCAATTTAATTTTAATGTTAAATGGTAGAAAACATGTTTATACATGTTAGATTAAATAGATCTGGTACAGCATGTCATCAGTGTGAACAGCTCCTGTTAAACTACTAATAATTTTTAGAAATGAAAGTTAAAAAAATACTTATTCCGTATAGTATATTTGGCAGTTCTCCAGGGTGAAATTGTAGGAGGATATTTTTATACCTTTGGTTGAGAACATTGTTTTACCTTTTGTTTTAAACAATGTGACCAGCATAATGACTACAACAGTAAAACATCTGTAAACAGGATTAATCTGTTCTCTTTGTTACTCAGAATTAGAGATATCCCACCCCCTGGTAAGCTGCATTAGTGTATTTAGAATAAATATATATGAAATTAATTTTCATTCTTTTCAAACTGAATAAAATTAATTGAATAGGTTGTCTAACTTTTTCTGTACTCCATATAATAAAAACACTTGTTTTGATATTAAAATGTTATTAAGTTATTACAATGTTTCCCAAACACATGAAAGTCATCTCCATTTTATAGAAAAAGAGAGACTTGACTAAAGAAATGAAGAATATTTATTTAAGTTTAGTTACGCTCTCGTGATTTAAGAGTGTCTGATATTAAATATTAAGCATTAAATATTAAGCATTAAATATTAAGTGTCCTGGTTCTGTCAGATCTTGCCATGGAAGATCCTTGAGATAATTTCAGGGGGAAAAGAGGACTTTCCACACAGGACCTCAGTTGCTTTGCTCCCAAAGTTCTCTGAAAGCATTCATATGTATTGTGTCTGGAATTTTATTATGTACATTTACACGTTAAGTTGTTTTCACCGGCCCACATGTTTTCCACCACGTGCTCGTGATAACTGAGCTTCCAGAAGGCAGGTCTGGATAGTAGATTAGGAGGGCGGCCCCCGTTTCTCAGGCGGTGATGAGAGGCTCTGGGCCCGAGCCGTCATCGTGAGGAAGTCAACAACAGACGGAAACGCGGCTCGCGCCCAGCATCACCCCACCGTGCAGTGAGCAGCCCTTCCTACGGAAATTGGTGAAATACTTGACTTTCTGTTTCTTAAATACTTTAAGGGCATAAAAGTCACATGTACTGCTTTGAAAATACAAATCCCAGATGTACCGAGTCAGAACTTCTGTAAGTGAGCCGAGGCGCAGGCGGCATGAAAACAGTCCCAGCAGGTGTCCACACGCCTGTGCTGAACCACCTCTGCTTTAAACCCTTCCAGTTAACAACACGTCCGGCCCCGTTACATTAATTCTGTGGGTATGTTATTATTCTGTAGAAACATATATAACTAATTATTATGTAATTATACTGTGATCATTAATAATATAATTTTACGAATCGTGTATGTTCTTATTTTATAGAAACTTAACCAGGATATACAGGCGTTTCATTCTTCTTCTCGGGCACTCCTAAGAGATTATCAGGATGAGTATCAGGACCGTGTTTCTGCGATAGTGACCGCGGTGCAAAGAACACGGCAGAGCGCCGAGACCCTGCTAGGTAGGAGGGGCGTCAGTCCACACTCAAGAGAAATGTTTGCAGTTTTAAGACAATGACTGGCTAGAATTTAAGTTTCCATTTCTTTTTCCTTTTAGCTGACACCTAATTCCACAGGCGAGGGTGGGCACCGTGTGATTCGGCCACGTTGGTGTGTGCACTGCTCCCTCCCAGCTCCCACTGCAGCCCCACTTGCCAGGGGAGCTCCTTGTTCTCTTGGTCACCACAGGGCACTTCCCTGGCCTTGACGGTCACTACTGAACTGGCACCCGTGTCCACATTGGGCATTTTGTGTCAGAGTTTCCTAAAATATGACGTGAGGTGTTTTTTTTTTTTTTTTTTTTGTCTTGTCAGTTCAGTTCTTTCTTCATTTCTAAGAATGCCACAGCATTTGGCTACTCTTTTCTTATAATGGATTTATTATCTTCAGCTACGGTGCTTGAAGGCTGTGGAAGGGGTTTCTTTGCTTCTGCAGTTTTAAACTCATCGTCCACATTGCACTATCCGGCCAGGCCCAGTGGCTCATGCCTATAATCCCAGCACTTTGGAAGGCCGAGGCAGGCAGATCACATGAGGCCAGGAGTTTGAGAGCAGCCTGGGCAACATGGCGAAAACCTGTCTGTACTAAAAATACACAAATTAGCTGGGCGTGGTGGCGCATGCCTTTGATCTCAGCTACTTGGGAGGCTGAGGCAGGAGAATGGCTCGAACCCGGGAGGCGGAAGTTACAGTGAGCCGAGATCGTGCCACTGCACTCCAGCCTGGGCGACACAGCGAGACCCTGTCTCAAAAAAACAAAAGAACCAAAGAGCACCGTCCCCACGTTCATCTCGTGCTCACAGCTTCTGTCCAGTGTTCAGTGTGTCCACAGGCCAAACAGATGATTGTCAAGTTAGGAACTCGGTCAAGTGTTGTTCTGCTGTTATTGCAAAATAGGTGTGTGGAAACTTTGGAAGCTGTACTGTTTTTCTGTGAGGCTACGTGATGCTTTCTTGAGATCGCTGCAGTAGCCTAGTTTTCTTCAGTGCACGCTGCTAATAACTCCCCTGAGGCCGTGTTTGTAGAAGTGATGTGTGCACGCCTGTGTTCTTTTCTGTGGTGGGGGTGGGGGGACAGAGTCTTGCTCTGTCGCCCAGGCTGGAGTGCAGTGGCGCCATCTCAGCTCACTGCAACTCTGCCTCCCGGGTTCAAGCGATTCTCCCGCCTCAGTCTCCCGAGTAACTGGGATCATAGGCGCCCGCCATCACGCCTGGCTAATTTTGTATTTTTAGTAGAGATGGGGTTTTACCATGTTGGCCAGGCTGGTCTCGAACTCCTGACCTCAGATGGTCTGCCGACCTCGGCCTCCCAAAGTGCTGGGATTACAGGCGCGAGCCACCACACCCGGCAATGCCTGTGTTCTTATAAACCACGTGCTCCAGGGAAAGGGACAGTCATTTTTGTGAAATGATTTTCACAGTAATTTTGTGAAAAGCAGTGTACCTAAGCTTTGAAAAGATGAAACTCAAAGGGAGAAGCAGGGAACAGCCAAGGCTGTCCCGCAGAGGGAATGCTGACATGTGAGGAGGCAGGGCCTGCTGAGACCCTGCCTGTGGGAGCCACGGTGCAGTTCTGCCACACAGAGGAGTCCCCAGGAGGCTTATTCCTGCTCAGGCATCAGGCTCAGGGGCTCGGGGCCTCCTTACCTGGCTTCCCGGGGGGCGCGACTTCTCCCCTCGAGTTCCACGCTCCTCAAAGATGAGCCTCAGCCACCTCAGGTGCCCAGGCAACTCCTTTCAGCTGCCCTGACGAGAGGGATAGTGGGGACAGGCTGGTGGCTGGGGCCGGACACAGTCAAGGCTCAGAAGACCAAGTGACTGGGAGGGTCCCTCTCTCACTGTGGGGGACCCTTCCCACTTTCTTACGCCTGCATTCAGTCTGGACCTGGTAACGGGTGTTTCTTTCCGAAAGGGAGCGTGCATGGTTCTGCAAGTCCAGCTTGGTTTCAGGCCTCATGAGAGCTGCATCTGTGCGGAGCAGGTCCTTGGGCCTGGGGGAGAAAGCCCCGGCCGCGCTGCATCCTTTGGCTAAGTGACATCTGGAGGGGCCCCTGGCTATCGTGACTCATAAAGTCACGAGGTGTCCCCTGCAGCACGACACCGCACTCCATGTCACCCTCACACTGCCTCCACCACAATGGCCAGTCTGGGGATTAGGGTGTCCAAGCTTGGCCAAGGTGCCCACGCAGTGCCCACTCATCGCCACATCACCGAGGCGCCATCCTGGTGGGACAGAGGCAGGAGTGGAGGCCCAGACCACCGTTACAATCCACAGCAGCAGAGCCCGGCCCCAGCATCTGCTTCCCTGCCCCACTCCTCCGCACCAAGGGCTCCCAGTGCGTTAGGAGCAGAGACCTCCTTGGCTGCCGTGCAGACGATTGGGCAGCATTCAGGCTGATGACGGACGGGGTAACTGTGGGGAGAGGTCCCCCCGGTAAGCTCTGTGAGTCCCTGGTCACGGTGGGGACAGAGCAGCCTGGGTCCAAAGCAGTCAGGAGTACACACCACAGCACGCAGCTGGCCCTGGCAGACTCCATTGTTTTTAAAAATGTCTCCCATACTTAGAGAAAGGAATTTGACCTGCTGGGCCCCATGGATGTCCTCTCCGGTATAATGCCTCTGTCCCTTTGTCCTTTCAGCGTGCCAGGCAAAGGTGGTGCACCTGGAGCAGGCCTTGCAGGACGTCAGTGCGCGTCATCAACTGGAGAGGCAGAGAAGGAAGGTCCTGCACAACAGCCTGGTGGTGAGCGTGGGCGTTGGGGAAAACTCGGGGCCGCCCCAGGGAGAAGCCCACACGGAACACGCAGGAGCCCCTCGCAGGAGGGTGCCAGGCGGGAGGGACAGCGGGGAGGGGGACGGTGGGGCGGCCTGGCCGGAGAGCAGAGGGGCAGAGCTGTGGGGGCTATGACCTGCGTACTCTTCACCCAGGAGGTGATGGCAGCTGGAGGAGGGGTGAGGGCACCGCAGGCTGATTTAGGCTTTCAGGGTCACTCTGGCTGCTCAGTCAGGAGGCCACGATGGGGAGCAGGGGGGATGACTGCAGTGTCACGGGGGCTGGCAGCCTGGGCCACGTTGGTGGCAATGCAGGAAGTGGGACCGGCTGCTGCGAGGCACGAGGAAAGAGCTGTCACGGGAAGTCGGGAGCGCGGGAATCTGCGGAGATGGGGACTGGCACGGGAAAAGCAGGGATTCTGGTGTAACTGGAGATGCCGGTGGAGACTGCCATGCCCCTTCTGTCACCAGCACCTTCCAGCCATGTCTCTCCCTGCCCATTGACAAGACCGGGAGGTCTCGTGCTTACTTAGTCAAAGGTAGGAGACCTGAGATCCCATGAAACTTAACATAAAGTCTCAGGGTTTGATTTTACAACACGAGGATGCCAAGGTGGATGACTGAGTTGGTGACCCTCGCTTCTGTGAGGTTTGATTTTGATGGCCGCGCTTTGGCCAGCCTTTCCGAATTCCACCTGCCTGAGGCCCACGAAGCCGGTGTCCCTGCAAAGTTTCTCTCCCCTGGCCACTCTGAGAGGTTCTCCAGCCGTTAGATGTGTCAAAGAATAATTCTCATTTTAAGCATCTACTTATGTAGTTCAGTGCTGCGAACATTGATATAAGAGGGCATTTATTGAGTGCTTCCTGTGTACCAAGTACTTTTGAAAGCATTTTAGTGTATTTCTTACTTAATCTTCACTATAGCACCACCTCTCTGGGTTGTGATAAAGACAAAGGGAGATATCAGGGAAGCACCTAGCACTTCAGAAAGTCTCACTACGCTGCAGCTTTTTTTTAAATCTGGAGTGTGAAAAGGACAAAATGAACCTTCCTAAGATGGAGGCAAGTCCCACAGGGAAGAATCGGTTGTGGAAGGTTCTGAGTGTTCCACCTCAAGCCTGGGTCTCCTGGTCTAGATGACGCGCGTGCAGTGTGTGGCCCATGGAGAATGTGCAAGCAAAGGCTGATCCCAGCTTCTGTGGGTTCATAGAGACCAGACGGAGGCTGTAAATCATTGGCCTATGACACTCACTCGGTTTTCAAACTGTAGAAGGAGCTGCTCAGCACAACAGGCTGAATAAACTCGCTGTGAATCCAAGACAAGATTTCAGAACGGATTCGGCAAGTGTCTGGGCATATACAGTAAAGATGTGTTGCTCACTGGAAACCAGTGGAGTTTATGAGAATAAAGAGTTTCTAATTTCCTTCCAGTCATTAAATCAAGGAAATACGACAGATATTGAATTTCCAGAATCCCCCCTAAAATGCCTAAAAGGTTGAGCCCAGAATACCGTTCAAAGGGATTTTCTTTGGTACTTATTACCAAGTGATACCCCTTTGCCAAGTGAACACTTTTGTGAAGTATGAATCCAGTTTAAAATAACTGTTCATGGCCGGGCATAGTGGCTCATGCCTATAATCCCAGAACTTTGGGAGGCCGGGGCGGGCGGATCACCTGAGGTCAGGAGTTCGAGACCAGCTTGGCCAACATGGTGAAAGCGCTTCTGTACTAAAAGTACAAAAATTAGCTGGGTGTGGTGGCAGGCGCCTGTAATCCCAGCTACTCTCAAGGTTGAGGCAGGAGAGTCACTTGAACCTGGGAGGTGGAAGTTGCAGTGAGCTGAGATTGCACCACTGCACTCCAGCCTGGGCGGCAGAGCAAGACTCCATCTCAAAAACTAAATAAGTAAATGAAATAACTGTTCACTGCCCTGCAGGGGCCTTTCGAAGTGGAGATGGGGCTGCGGATGTCACGGCCGCGTCTCAGGAGCTGGTGCTCAGTGCATGTTCAGTGGGGGACACTCCGCAGTGCAGTCTTGAGCCCGGATTAACATGCAGACCTCTTTATCATTGTAGGAGCTGAAAGGAAATATCAGAGTTCACTGTCGAATTCGTCCTTTGTTGCCTTTTGATAGTGAATCCGATGATCCAGTTTTGCAGAGCAGGTAACGTGTGTTTGCACGGTGTGTGTGTGTCTGTGTGTGTGCTCACGGAGAAGACAGAGGGGTGGCACAATTTTAAACGCCATCTATTGTCCTGCCGCCAGTCCCAAAGCAGCATATTCTCGAGTTGTGGGTGGGGGCTCTTTTTAAGGATGGAGCTGTCTTGCTGACAGCAGACAGTTAGCAGCCCTCTGGAATACGGCCTGAAAACAGCCAAACCGCCTGAGCAGGCCCACCGTGCGTGGTGGCAGTTTGTACCTGAGAGGGCGTCTCTCTTTTCATGGTTTGCCTGTGCGGGGTCAGGGACAGGCTTTGAATGGACCTTTCCCTTTATGTCACTACATCAAAAAGGGAGCACCCGCTCTTCTTTATGAACCCGAGACCACCCACGCCCCTGTGCAGGCAGTCAATGAGGATTGACTCAACCGACACTTTTGACTTAGAGAAAGTTTTGATGGTGTTCATGGATAAAGCAAAACTGTCTGAAGTTCATTTACTCAAATGTTTACTTGAAAACCATACTCAATATGACTCTTCCTTGCTCCCCATGAAACAACCCCCCTGGCCTTCCCCCTCCCATCCTGACCACACCTGCCCCTCCCACTCCCATCCTGACCACACCTGCCCCTCCCACTCCCATCCTGACCACACCTGCCCCTCCCACTCCCATCCTGACCACACCTGGCCCTCCCCACTCCCATTGTTGACCATACCTGACCCTCCTGCCACTCCCATTGCTGGCCACACTTGCCCTCCCTCCATCTCTGACCCTCTTGCCCTCCCTCCATAAACCTGCTCCTCCCCACGCCCACTGCTGACCACACCTGGCCCTCCCCACTCCCACTGCTGACCCTCCCACCACTCCAGGGGGTTCCACTTCCCTGCTTTCCTGACACCATATGGGGTTGGCTGTATCCACAGTGGTGGGAGTCACTAGGGCCTGCTCCTGACTCTGTAGCTTTGCTCAGGCTGTTTTTCTTGTCTTGGGTTCCTCTGCTTAATCTGTCCAAATGAGCTTTCCTTGGAGGGCCTAGCTCGAGTCTCACCGTGTTTGCATCCTGCAGTTCAGCACTTGAGAATGTTTCAGAAAGCACTTGGCTGGTCCTACAGTGTGAAACAAGAAATTCGGATCTTTTGACAATCATTGAAACTTTTTCTCCTCAAAGTTTTTAGACTTGATTGTGCCGGCTCTAGTACGTTCTGTGCTTTCGCCAAACCGCCTGAGCAGGCCCACCGTGCGTGGTGGCAGTTTGTACCTGAGAGGGCGTCTGTCTTTTCATGGTTTGCCTGTGCGGGGTCTGAACAAACAGGGACAGGCTTTGAATGGACCTTTCCCTTTATGTCACTACATCAAAAAGGGAGCACCCGCTCTTCTTTATGAACCCGAGACCACCCACGCCCC